CAAATCTCACAATGATAAAGAATCCTTCAAAAAATTCCTGGATCCAGAAGGCGATCTGGATCACCACCAAAATGTAATGGGATCCTCCTGAGGCTGAGACGCACCTCTGGTGAAAATTTCCAGTCAATCCATCTGTAACTTTCTCCGTAAAGTTGCTAACAGACAAACAAACCAACAAACAAACAAACAAACCAACGCTACCAAAAACATAACCTCCTTGGCAAAGGTAACAAACCCAGGCAGTAATGGCATTTTTAAAGGTACAGTATGTAGTTTTAAGCAACATTTAAATGAGTTTTATTTGTCTTTCCAGTCTGCAAGAGATAATAACAAAACTAGTACCGAGGTCCCAGTATCAGCCATAAGAAATGTAAGACATAAAAAGACATCTAAAAGAGAAAATAAGTAAAAATTTTAATAAAAACCTAAAAGAATCCCAATAAAAGTAACAATAATATTTACATTAAAAGGTGATAATGTTAAATTATATAAACCCAAATAAAAATAACAAAACCAGCATTATTTTTTATCAGCATTTAGCAGAACATACTCATATTTACTGTATTCTTATGATTAAATTAGCATATTTATATCTTAATATGTAAGTCTTGCCTTATAAATCTACATGATGAGTGACTTTACTCTCATTAAGCCGGCCATTTTGCACTGCCATGTTGTTTCTATGCACGTTAATGTTACTATTCATCTTTGGTTTTACTTAGTTGTCTTCTTGAAACGCCGTGCTTGGAAAATAAAGGAGAGTGGCTGTTGTGCATAAAAGAATTTTGTATTGATGGATGGCAAAACTTGATAAATGGAGGATCATACTTGTCATGCATCACCAGAGCTTGTTGTCCTCAAAGGCCGCTATTGCTTTACCTGTGGGAGGGGTGAGTAGGGAAAGTAAGTCAGTAAAACTTTATTTATGGACAGAGGTCACACAGCTCTTTAAAAAAAGGAGAGAGGAACAATAATAGGTGAAAAAAAAGAAAGAACATATATTGCACAAATATAAAACACCTTCACTCAGCCAGACGAACCATAAAAATCCATGTGAGGTTAACAAATGCAATACTTGCAAACAATTACTGACACAATAAGACATGCAGATTGAAAATTAATAACCTTTACGCCTTTCTAAACAGATATATTTATTAGCAAATCTAAAAAGATTAAGCAAAAAGAGGCAGAGACTTGGAGATTTGGCGCCATAGCCTCAAAAGCACTGTCTCTACGAGTTGTAAGTGTTTCAGTGTAGAAACCAAGGGCAAAATAATGCCAAATACTCCCGTTCACACACACACTGTACCTTTAAGAAAGCAGTTTAGCTTTGACAAAAATGTTATTTCTAACAAACAGAAAAGATAAACACTTTCCTGTCATTACCTGTTACACAACTGTATACAAGTCGTCTGTTAGACACAGTTGTAGTGGAGTTACTAAACCTAGAGTTCAAGCGAAGTCTCAAGTCCCCAGTGTTCATGACTAAGCTGAACGTAATCCCCATTATTGGAAGATTTGTAGAGGGGACCACCACTCCACTCTTAACTCTAATTCAAACTAACCAAACAACTTTGACCCAGTGGGTGAGTCACTTCAGGGGATAATGTTACCAGTCCGTGTTTGAACTTCCTCTAAAATATTTGACAGTAAAACTCAAGCTTTCTGGATTCAATTGGAGAGAAGCCTGTCATCAGCATATACTGATACTTCACACCTGAATCTAACATACGATTTGCATTGCACTTTTTTAACTCTTCTTATTTAATGTGCACTGATGAAAATCACCATTTAAATCAAGTTTAAAACTTTGCACAGGCCCACCTTTGTTGTAAGACTGAGTGTTGAGTGCTTTCTTTCAGCTATTTCACCGTCTGATTGAGCTAAATTCAGAGGTTAGTGTCTCTGTGTGAGCACACTGTGGTAATAAATGACTTAAACAGATGCAATCGTCCCTCTGTCTGCATTCCTACTGAGTGAGCCAGTAGCAATTTCCAAGGTTTGAAGACTGGATATTAACACCTCAAAGTCGTGCCATGTTGGCAGCTGCACCGAGCTCTGCAGAACAAACAAAACATGTCCCCTCTGAAGCAGACATATTTGTAAAAATGAGCGGAAAGCCCTGACTCAAATAGACAAAGATGGACAGCAGGGGAAAATCTGCTGTTAGGAATCAATTAACTTCTTGTGAAATGTGCTGCTGGTGTAAGAAACAGCAGAAAAAGACGCTGTTGTAAAGGTGATTGAAATCATGAACCCTAAGTAATTGTTTTGCTTGAATGTAATTTGTCTTGATGCTTTGTGCGTAATTTTAACGTCAAACGGTCATGATGAGCTGAGGTTACACACAACCCTGCCAGAACTAATTCAGACTGTGATGTTGACGAGACTCACATTAGGGAAAGCCTGGGGAATCTGGAGGGCAAACTCATTCAACATTCAAGTATGCATATTTCACAGGAATATCAATGATATTTCTGCATCACAACATTCCTGATCATCACGTGTTGACAAAGATTACAGTACTTAGCACTTAGCTTTAAGTGCTTTATCCTTCTATTTTTTTTTACTTAGTCAAGCCTAAAACTGCTTCATTAGTAACCTCAGTGTATGGACAAATATCAACCAGAGGTAGAAAATATAAAAAGCTTCAAGTGTGTTTCTGTGTGAGAATGTCTATTGGGTGAAGAAATGTGCTGTTTTTATGCAGATGCGGAGCTCTTTCTGGTTCAAGTTTTCATTATATTGCCACCTACCCATGCTTATCTTGCACCAAAATATCTCAATAAAAGCGTTTTAAAAGATAGTGTGCAGGGCTTCACATTGTAACTTCTTTTAGTCCTCAAAAACTTAAGCTTCAAAAAGTTATATTGTCTTTCTGTTGTTAAACCCTGAAACTCCTGTAGGGAGTTTTTCATGTAAATAAAAAAAGGCCAGAAATTCATATTCATGCCTTTTTAAAACAGGGAAACAAACATGGGTGAGGGGACTAGTCATTTTTAAGTTGTGATTTTTCATGCTTCAAACCAGCATGAGGGGGTATCATACTACCTGCCAACACTCCCGTTTTCCCTGGAACTCTCCCATATTTCAGACCTATCTCCTGCCCACCTCCTGTATTGTCATTTCTCCCTGGAATCTCCTGTAGTTTGCATGGTCCACGTTCATTCATGAATCGGATCACTATATTTGTCCAAAGTAGATTGTCCTGTGTTGCTGCTGAGCCTCACAGACACTGGATTGATCCTTTTACTTTACAAATTGGGATGATTTAGGTCGGTTTAAGCTGTCAACTATATTTAAGCAGTGTTTGTCGCGAAATGAACACTTCAATGAAAGGGAAACAAATGCAATATATAATACTTACATTAACAGTCTTGCACCATCTCGGAGTGATGTGTTCAGGGCAGCCTCAGATAAAAGAGTGCTGTATTGCACGCACAGATGTTCAGTGAGCCTCATTTGGGAGAGCATGTAAAACATATGAGGACTTTAACACCATATATTATATGAATTATTATTATTATTATTATTATTATTATATAAGTGGACTAAATAGGTTCAAGGCATATCATAGCTATTATTTTTTATTACAATTTGTTATTGTTAGAACAAAACAAAAAGTGTGCAGCTTCACTTATACTAATTTTGATGAGCAATCTAATAACAAAAACTCTCATAATTAGCTCATATCCACCATACAAGGAAACCCCAAAACTGCCCGGGGAATGCCGCAAAAATCTCCTGGATTTTATAACCCAAATGTTGACAGGTATAGGGGGTAGGAGCGCCAACGGAGCATTTAAAGAAACAACCCTGTTTATACAATGAATTATTCATGAACAATGATACATTTAACTGTCAGAAGTCAGCAGGATGAGATTTTTGTCATAAGACACAACATAAGACATGCAATGGTGTTTTTTGTCCACAGGTGGCACCGAAGTTGACAAAAACAGAAAGGTACTTACAGGAGCTTTAATGTTAAAAAATACACCAACAAAAGATATACGTGTCACTCAGTTTGATCACATTCTTGTATATAATCGACAATAACCATGGTATGATAATGATAAGATGGCATGGTTATCATGCAAACAAGTCTTTAACAACCAATTAGAGCAGTGGTCTGCCCCAGTCAAGGATGTCTGAACACCCTCGGCTTCTAAAGTGTAATTTAAAACAAAACAGAAATGTCTGCAAGGATACTCAAATCAAGAAAACATGCAACAGTGAAGAACCTGAAAGTAGAAACCACAACATGAAAACATTTTCTCAATGTGAACTTTGTGCATAAACTGCAGAGTAAATTATCTCTACAGGGGCAGAAACATGCAGCCGTTGACAGCTGAGTCGACCACAAATCTTTTCCGCATTTTTCTTTTTTACTGTCTCCTTATGCACTTTATCCCTGATTTTATGCCACAATTAAAGAGATATACAATCCTCCAGGTTGGATATGAGACAACAGTGTCTTGTTAGGACACAGTTTCTTGCACGGTGTCACTGCCTCTTGGGATGATGACCGATGAGAGGCGACGCGGTTCAGATCAATGGTCCTCTGGACGGCCTGTTGAACCTGGATCAATAGCTGCTAGTTGAGTGAGGACTTGTTCTCTGATTCGGTGTTTCTCACTGTCAGACACTTGCTCATAAGCTGCAGTCACTCTTTCAGCCATCCACCCCCGTGCGCACGCTCACACACATACACATAAATACACTTCCCTCTCCATCTCTCCATCTCTCTATCTCTCGCCCGGCTAAGGAGTTCGCCGGCAGTCCCCAGTGCGGCGAGGTTAAGTCATCATGCTGTTTGACAGAGATGGAAAGGGTTATTATCTGACACTGCACCGGATTCATGCTGTGTGAGACAAAGGTGCATTTGGATCGATACATGTATAAGTGCTGTGGTCAAGACAATAAGACCGGTCTAGTACATCATATGTACTAATATAGATCTGACTCACCACTAAGGGGTCAAGGAAGCAGACACACTTGATGTCGTTTGATTTTCTGCACCTCAACTGCAGGCAGGCTGCTCTGAAATGATTGAAAGTGAAACATTTAAGAAAAGAAATCGAACCAAATAGCTTGAGGTGTTAATAAAGGGTTTGAAAGAAGACTCAAAGACATCCTTTGTTGTTTTAAATTGTATTTCAAGGGTTTCAAATTTCCAATTTTGACCTGAACACAGTCTTGCCCGCATCCAATTATGTTTTGAAAATGAAATTATCTCTCATTGGAAACCACTGACATTTTGTCCCTCACTTGCAAGCAATTTAAATAATAAAAAAAAAGATACCACAAATGTAATTGGCTAATCGAGTTGCCAATGACAGAGAGAGCAGGGGAAATAATTGCATTTGAATTGCAGATTGAACAAGTATATCCCAGGCAATGGAAGGAACAAACATCAGCATTTCACCCTAGGTAAGGAATAAAAACAGCAAGGACAGCAAGATGGCTGACTGCTGTTCGACAATAAACAGCTGACACCATGGGTTGCCATGCACTGATGTGCTCCCACTGCTATGTCTTGTGAGGTAAATCTTGCACAGAGAATTTTTGCTCTCTAAAAAGTCATGCATAATCCCAGCTTCCCAGGTGAAATTTAATGATATCAGACCACTGGCTTCTAACAGCTTGTGAGGACCTTTGGATACCCTGTAATTTGCATTTCTGCCGTAAAGCTGATGCTCTGCCTTTGCATGTGGTCTGTGAACACCTGGAGAGAAGCAGCGGTGTCATCAGGATGTTGTTGTTTTACTATCGTCGGGCTTTTAACACAGCACAACCTCATAAATCTGAATGTCAGCGCTCAATGAAACAGATTCAGGTATCTAACCCTCTCAGTTCCTGACTTGCAGGAAAAGATGACTTTTGATGAGTTCTCTAACAACTCAGGGCCCCAGTCAGGATGTTGGTTGTCAGCGTCCTTATTTATATTGTATACAGGAGGCGTGAAACACAATCGGGAAATGAGCCATATGCGGATATTCTCTTGGGAAATTGCAAACGTCACTTCTATTTTCAGTCTGTGATGAAAAGAAAGAAATCAAATATTTTTCGGATGGTCTCTTTGGATAAAAGGAGCTGGTGGTTAACAAAGAAGGAAAACAGGAACACATTACATGAAAATAGAAAAGACTACAAATTCACACCATATAAGCTAGCAGCTCATTGAAGCTGTGAACACAAAAAAGCTTTTAGCTTTAATGGTACAAGGTGCTCACAATGACACTGTTGGCATGCTAATCTAATGAATTAAACTATAGCTCGGGTGTTATTGTCAAAGCATTGAAAGAAGAAAGGTTCAACAGTATTTGCATGCTTTCTTTAGCTAAAGAAGGCTTGTTGATTTCTCTTTAGGCAGAATTAAGGAACATAATAAGACAAGTAGAGTATTTCAGCAAGCCCTTGCTAAAAATGTCCAAAGTCAAACTATAATGGGGGAATTTTATCCTGTTACTTTGCTAGCATTTGGCTACTGGAAAGAGTGAGGGAAAAGAAGCCCTCCTAAAATAAGACCATTAATCCAAACACACCCCATCCAAAGGGCTAAAGACTGATTTATAGATCGCGTAGCTGATCATGATTTGAAACCATTTTTTTTCAACGTTGTCCTCAACAGAGCATGTGGTCTAAACTTTTTCAAAAGATTGAAGTCGTGAAAGATATTACACAAAAACAGACAAACTGTGGGTCTACACCATAGACTGTATATAGAATGGACGCCGTCTGCCTCCTCGATGGGTGAAGCCACTCCGAGAACAGCACCCTCTGGCGACAGGCTTAATTTAGAAATTTATTACACAGAATATACCCCCCCCCAGTTGCAATGTTGACATGTAGTTACTGTAAGACTGGTTTGTGCTCAAGTCCTGGTTTGTGGTTCAAGTTTTATATGATTGACACTTGATACAGCCTATGGGCGTACGAAGATTGCGTAGCTCACCCGGGGGATACGCTGTTTGAGCTGAGCATCATCACAGCGACTCTACCGCGGAATGCGCACGATGCTACTGGGCAAGTGGTGGAATAGGTACAACGGTACTTTGCAATGTTGGCCCAGGAAGTGGCGGAAAAACGCAGAATTACCGAGAGCTTTTTGGCTTCAAATATGTATACTGGCAGGGGTGGAACCAAGTTGTCCATAGTATATACAGTCTATGGTCTACACATGTGCTAGCCGACTTGTTTGACTGGATTTTGACAAATTAAAGTTGTGAGTTTACTTGAACATGTTGAATTGCACCTAAAATCAATGATAACAGTCACAAACAACTATGCTAACCATTGGAGTTTAATCTGTAACAGGCTAACGTCAGTCATTGAACTCTGAAATCAAAGTACAGCTGCAGCTGTAGCACGCGTTTACCATTTAGCCACCAAGATTTGTGAATGGGAGAAACTGCGGGATAAAGATATTACTCGTCATCCAAATAAAGTCTGTGGGCCATTTTCAAGATGTAAAAACCATCAAATGGTGGCACTGAATAAAAAAAAAAGGTTGAGTTGTGAAAGGCACCCTCAGATCTCCAGTTCACAAAGTAATTTCAACAGAATGGCAGTTCTGGCTGGTTTGTACTGTTTCAACTGTCCCCAGTAAGAGCAGCCGGAGATGAAATCCTGAAATGATCAATGGATTATTTCCTTACCTTTTACTGACCTTAGGCATGGAGAGTTGCTCCTCTCTTGTACAATATCCTTTTGTACTTTGGTGTGTACCTTGCTCCTTTTTTTCGTACTGGGTTTTGTGGTGCTGTGATAGAAGATTTCAGACTTTATTGCACTTCGCCAATCTGATCCACACAATCCTCCTCACCATGACCCATTGTGAATGTCTCAGTACGCTCCCAGCTCTTGCTGTTCCCTCCACCTGCCCTCAACCCCATGAACACACTCCCTGCAACCTGAAAACTCATATGCACCCTCTTTGGTATTCTGAGGACAACACTCTGGACACAATCTCCTACCAAGAGAGTTCTCGATTTGAACAGCACCATATTGATCTTTTGCTGCTTTTTGGCATGAAAAAACTACTTTTTCCATCCGACACCTTTTGGGTCTTCTGGTTTCATTCACAGACCCCCATTCCTTATTGAGACCTTGTGTTTCACCCTGTCAGACTCTTGTGTTAATTCAGCTGTGAGTTTAATATAAGATTTCTGTCGCCTGTTGAGCTTTCCCCAATCCAGTAAAAAAGCTCAGCCAATGTTCTGTTACACTTCAGTTGAGAATTGTGTATGAAAACCATGAAACAACGTTACATGGGTGGCTGATACACTTTAGTGACCCTTACTCGAGAGTGCTGACCAAAGAGCACAAGATCCGTGATTCAGGGATTAAAGCGAAGGCACAACAAGGATTCCTGAAATGCGAATGTATGACATGAAAGTCACAAAACCGCAAACTACATCCACAATCCATATCGCTGGCATTATCCAGCATATCCAGCATCGATCACAACCCAAAGGAATAAGATGTTATTTCAATCATGCACACCAGTAGGCTTTTGAAGAATAAATATATTGTTCTGTTGCCACTCAGAGGAAACATTGATGTGCAAATCACTGCTCACAAAGTCCATCCTCTCAGCTGATAACAAAGGACATCCACTTTCCTTTAAGTAAATAGATAAATACAGTAGAAAACAGACACATGCTGCCAAGGGATAGGCATGCTATGGTCCAGTATTCCCTCAGTCCTTTCAAAGAAATGCAGAATTGGCCAGGGACATACGACTTCAAAAGAGAGTCACTCCCAACTGAACCCATCTCTTGACTCTTTGATTGTAACTATTCTAGCCATGTTTGAGGTGTTGGAGAAGCTATAAAAAATAAAAAAGTATGACCGCATGTTTTATTCATAGCTTCAGTGCTTTTCATAAGATAAGGGGTGTCATTGTTGCTGGAGCACAAATTTAGCAGGGATGCTGGGTGAATGTTTCACCTTCAGCTCTGGAAGCTTGTGCATTGCTCTGTTGCGTTTGGGTGGATTAATTAAAGGTAAAAGAAGCTCTCTTTATCGTGATCGTAATCAATGGCAAACACAAGTATTTTAATGGAACTGATGTCCCTGAAATCTTTGACAAAACATCTCATTTGTCTTGCGAATAAAAGCGTTTCCATTCCCCTCGCAAGGCCTGTTGTACACCTGCGGTGATATGCACGTATCATGCATGCGCACATACACATGGGCATGGGTATCTATGCATAAATACATGCACAAATAGCCAAAACAAGCATGCAGACACCCTCCAGTAAACAGATTTGTTGTAGATGGAATTTCGAGTGAGGTCAGGTCAAACACGAGGAAAAAAAAAAAGCTTCATGGAATGATTCACATGGTATTTTTGCAGCCCTGCACCTGGCTCTGATAGCTTGTGCTGATAGATTCGCTCTGACATTTACGATGGCCTCACTGTATTCCCTAATTATTGAACAATTTCAGCATAAAATCCGATTTAGCGCTTTAAATGAAGCTGCCTGAAGTCATTTGGCTCGGCCCGAGACTTATCTCCTCTGGTGGTTTTATTCATTTGTTTTGCTATATTTTCTTTTCTTTCTTTCTTTTCTTTTCTGTCAACCTTCCCACTGTATATGCACCATACATTTTTCCGGCACTGGAGTCTCAGGATGAGATGATCAGTTTAATCACAGAGCAACATTGCCCCCTGTTGGACACATATGAGAAAAGCCTTCACTCCTCACAGATGTACCCTGAATACATATGCTGGAAATTCACTCAGCTGCATTTTTTTTTGTGTGTTGCTCAGCCTTATCAGTGACCTTGTATGATTATTAAAATATTAGTATCACATTAATACCTCTGCATCTTAAGCAGGCACAGAGCAGGCTGCAGTAATACAGTCACTGTGAAATAACTCCAGCCTCTTGGTCTGTGAGAGGAGGTAAATTATCGAAAGGATTATCGAAAGGGCAGGCACTCTGCCTCTCTTATTTGTGATTCTTTATAAACCATGTAAAAGCCGTCCAAATAGTGTAAATAGACTGGATGCCTTATAAAGTTTTTTTTAACTATTTAAAGAGTGGCATAAAAATATATTTTGAAGTTTGAATACTAGATTTAAATTGTCCTTATGTGCTCGAGGCTACAAATAAATTAAAAACAATCTGATTGCATATTTGATACAATTAAATCCAAGACAAAAATATGTGGTATGCTACAGTATAATATGAATGAGTATGGAGGGATATATGAATACATTTATTGTTTTTAAAGGAAAATTAGTCTTGGATTCAAGTGCTGCACTCTGAAAACCCCACAGATGGTTCCCTGTGGTATGGTCTCTCTCTCTCTCTCTCTCTGTCTGTGTATCTCCTTTAATATTCCACACAGTTTCCTGCTGTGGTGATATTGCGGTTTAGACAGGGGGCATAATGTTGGAAGGTCCAGCCCATCCCATTTTTCACACTACACCTTACCCTGCCTTGATCACAGGGAAAGATTTGCTATGTTAGCTTCGAGGACATGATCACTATCAGGCCTAAACGTGAGCGTTAAAGTCTTTAGTCTTTGTGTTATTTGCCTGTAACGAGGGATATTTATCACTCTTTTTAGGTCATCTTTAAACCGAGAAAGGTATAGTGCTTGAAAACCCTTTTGTTTCATAAGCTCTTGCTGGAAGGGTTAAGCTGTATATCCAATTGCCATAGCGGAGCTTCTCCTGGTTGATGACATTTGGCATTTCTGCAGAATATAAAATAGAAGACAAAATTAAATTTGCAAATGCTCGGGGCTCAAAATAAATACTGACTGTCTGTGCCAAGGCTCTTTCCTACTGCCTCTTTCCATTAAGCCGTATTAGAACAAACAAAGGTGTATGCTCATAGGTAAAGCCTCGTCTAGTCTCCAATATAAAAATCATTTAGTACGTCTCCACCCTGTAAAAGGTGTCATTTTTGGAACATTATGTGTCCTTAGTCACCGCAGTTACACAACACCATGTCCTGGAGTCTTAAAAATGTATTTAAGTTTTTTTTTCTGCCTCCCTCACAGGCACGAAAAACAAAGTGCTGCACTGAGAAATGGTCTTGTTTTTGTCGTTACCTATGTTCAGTGAAATGTAAAAGATGCACTGATGGTATTTTGCGCCACCACTAAAGCGCTGCAGCCAGCAGCACATCAGGCACTTGATTTAATACATAATCCATATGACTCAGTGAGTGTCGTGTTGAGGAGATAATCCACCTGGATAGACGTTTTCAAGCTGGTGGCTCGTTCCTTCGTCTACATGCCCGAGGCTCATCAATAGCTCTATGTGTCTGCTGTCAAAACGAGTGTTGAGGTGCTACAGCAAGCGGTCCTTTAAATAGCCTATATATGGTACAGTTAAACTTGCAACATCCTGTGTTGATTGGCAAAGATTAATTTATTTTTCTGGTGTTGATCACATTTATTGCGGTTTGTGTTGAGTATGGGCCTGCTATTTACAGCTATAATCTACGTCATAAATTCTCACTTAGCCACACAAAGATGAAGCATAATTCAAACAAAGGCAGAAAGTTTGAGGGGTTTGTTAAGATGGAAAAGTAAGGCTGAATATGAAATAACATATTTTTCAAAAGAACCTATTCACATTTATCTGGCATTGTCATCCAAAATGGATAACTCCTTTTGGGATGGTTGACAGATTCTGGATAATTCTGGCATAATCAGCAGTTGTCGTCACATAACTTCAAGCTCTAACTTGCTTTTGATGCTCAGTATTGCAGCTGCAGACATAAACATCATTGTTAATTTGTATATAACATGTAACCTGTTAGAGAATGTGTTAATCTGTTTTTTCTGAGTCCCGGTTTTTCTGTAGATTGTGTCATTTTCAAAGTAAATAGTGAGCCTCATTTTCACAGTAGACAGTAAAGTCTCAGTTTCACAGTTGTTAGGACTCAAGTTCCACTGTGGATAGTTACGGAGTTGCAGAGTAAAGATAGTCTCAGTTTCACCTGCAAAAGAAAGTTTCAGTTTTACTGTAGATAGTGAGTCTTTTTACTAATGAGTCCTGTTTCTACATTAGAGAGTGAGTCTCAGATTCACAGTGGATAGGATGTCTCAGATCCACAGAAGTTTGTGAGTGGCAGTTTCACAGTAGATTAATATAATATAATATAATATAATATGATATGATATGATATGATATGATATGATATGATATGATATGAATTATATTATATTATATTATATTATATTATATTATATTATATTATACAATACAATACAATACAAAACAATACAATACAATATAAAAAGATATTATTATGATTTACCTGCAACAGGTAAATCAAAGTGGAGTTTGGCCAAAATCAGCACATTGACTCAGTATTGTCAGAGGTAAAACGCACTATTTGACAGGTCTGTCCCCAAGAGTGGTCTTTCTTCAGCGGTCATAATGTTTACTTTCTATGCAGATCAGGCAGTCAGAAAGTCTAAGCGTTGATTGGTTTTAGTCACACACCATGGCAAACTTTCTGTTGTTAAATTAGAAACTGCGACAGCTTTGATCAACCATTGAAATCTTCCTTGCACTCTATCCAGAAATCCTATAGGAATAAAACCACAGTGTTTATGGAGATGAATACATCAATATTAGATTACTGTTAAAAGTAAGTATCTTTGCTGTCCACACTGTATGTTTTTCCAACATGTACATCAGCTGACACCTGACTGGTCAATACTGTTTGGCAACTAACTACAAATGGGAACCTGAACACAACCATGCTGGAAATTCAGATTTCTAATTACAGAATCTACATTTCTATGTAGATTCTGTAAATACAGGTTATATAAAGGCATTTGTGACCTTTAGCT